CATCTTTCTCCAGGCAAGGGGAGGGGGGCGGTAGCTTGTCCACAGGCTCTCCCCGCCGGCTTATAGGCTTTTGCGTTTGCTTAGATCTGTGTGCCAATCCGGGACACAGTCCTGGATTATTATTCAACTCTGCACTTGTAATTCCCGGCGCTTGACTGGCAAAGATCTCCTGTTCTGTGTATTACTGAGGCCTTGGGGGAAGTGCTGTATCTGAACCAGAGTGCCAGAGGGGGAGCCTGACTCACTGGTCAGATACTCCTTCTGGGTGAAGTGGCACCCCTCCCCATCTCAGTCTGCCCTGCCTGGGCTTTGCTCACCATCGGACCAGACCTGTTGAAATGCACCTGGTACCCCAGTTGGAGCTAGGAGATCTCTGGATTTCTGCATCTGTCTTGCTGGGTGTTGTGTGCCGGAGTTGTGGCTATTCGGCCATCTTGAGTCCAGGACAGCAAATTTTAAGGGTCAGGAAGATGATAATAATTTCTTGCCTAAGAACTCAAAGACAATCCTTTGGCAAATGTTTATTGACCAGACCTTAAAATTAAATGTCAATAGGAAATGTTTCTTAAAAGATTGATAAAGTAGAAACATATTGGATTTAACAATTGGAGCACATATCTGGAAATCAGAACATCAGAGGTACAAACACGAGAAACACCATTTACTAAACACCTAGGTGTTTACGGTAAAGTATCTCTGCAAAGCAGGCCAACCTTACAAGGCAGGATTTCTAACCTCCCCAAGGTCATATACTAGCTCTTGTTCATCTATTTCTAGGCCCCAGAATAGTGTCTGAGTGTCTGGCACACTCAATATTTACTTCTTAAATGAACAAAGTAGTCCCTTTTTTGCAAATGAAGAACTGAGGCTTCCAGTAGTTAAGCAACTAGAAAAGCCTGGGTTCAAACCATAATCCTAAAGCAACCTTCTAAATAAATAGGTGACCACACAATTGGAAACATATGTAAACCAAACGAAAAAAGAAAGAAAATTCGTTTTAACTTGCTTTTCTGTAAAATTATAAGACTATAACTGGTATACTACTTTGTTTACATTTATAAAAAGCATAATAATGTTCAATCTTATTGAAATAATAATAGCTTTTGATTTAGTTTTCTATGGGCTAATTTCTGTACTAAGTGCTTTATGTATATTCTCTCATTTAATCCTCATAACATTATTATCATCCCCATTTTATAGAAAAGAGAACCAAGGCTTACAGAAGCAAAGTAACTTAAATAGCAGAGCCAAGATTCAAATCCAGGCAAGAAGACTACCTTGGAAACCCAACTTTTTAATCAATACACTTGTTACATGTAAATAGCAGAGGAGATAAGGCAAAAAACAAAAACAAACAACAACAACAACAAAAACAGGTGTACCCATGAGTAAGGCTACTCTTCTCTAAAAGCAAAATAAGCTGATAAGAATAAAGTCCTTGCCAAGCACAGTGGTTCATACCCGTAATCCCAGCACTTTGGGAGGCTGAGGTGGGTGGATCACTTGAGGTCAGGAGTTCGAGACCAGCCTGGCCAGCATGATGAAACACCATCTCTACTAAAAATATGAAAATTAGCTGGGTGTGGTGGTGAGTACCTGTAATCCCTGCTACTTGGGAGGCTGAGGCAGAATTGTTTGAACCTGGAAGGCAGACATTGCAGTGAGCCAAGATGATATCACTGCGCTGCAGCCTGGGTAACACAATGAAACTCTGTCTCAAAAAATAAAAAATAAAAAATAAAGTACTTATTGTTGTAATCAAGGCTGTGAGTGCTCCCACCCCCCCCCAAAAAAAAAAAAAAAAAAAAAAAAAAAACAGAACACACATGAGCTAGCTTAAGTGAAAGAGAAATTAATCGTTTTTACAGAATACCATATTGATAGTGGAGGTGGTGTTCATAAAGGTAGAAGCCAAAATAAGCAATAATACTAATAACTAACAATTAAATGGCCCTTTTCTGTGCCAGGTCCTGTTCTAAGCATTTTACTCATATTAACTAATTTAACCCCAACAACAGCCTTGTAGAGTAAACATAGCTGTAACCTATATTACAGGTAAGGAAACAGCTTCCAAAAGTTAACTTGCCCAAACTCAAAAAAGTAGAAAGTTTTCTTACACATACACATCTCTATTCCACAACCAAAACCTAACAGGCTCAGTCCCAGGCTGTATTTTTGCTCTGCTTTCATCAGGAGTCCACCCTGGTCCAGCACCTCAGAGTAGGAAGGAGGCAAAATCAAATGGACGAGTGCCTGGGAAGCAGAGATTTAAAGCTCATCCATTTATGCATGAGCACATTCATTCACAGCACTTTTTCATCCACTCACGAGCACCTGTTTCATTGCAAACCCTGTACGCAGAGTAGATTCTAAAAGTTTATCAGGCCAGGCACAGTGGCTCATGTCTGCAACTACAGCACTTTGGCAGGCCAAGGTAGGAGGATCACTTCAGGCCAGGAGGTCAAGGCTGCAATGAGCCAAGATCACACCACTGCATTCCAGCATGAGTGACAGAGGGGGAGAGAGAAAGCAAGAGAGAGCACGAGAACAAGAGCCTGAGAGTGAAAGAGAAGGAAAGAAGGAAGAAAGGGAGGAAGGAGGGAGGGAAGAAAGAAAGAAATTCAGAAAAATATTTGCATTATATGGGAACCAAAGGGTTAATCAGCTCTTCCAAAAACACAAGGAAAAAAAAAAACAGTCCAGTTGTAAAAGATGCAAAAGATATATAAACAGACAATTCACAGAAGCCAAATGACCCTAACAAAATGTTATCTGTTATTTCACCAAATAATTGCAAATTAAAATAATAAAATGGTATTGCATATTTGTCTTATGCAGATTTAAAAAACCTCTCACTCCCAGGGTTAGCAAGGGCATACCTTGTTATAAGAGTATTAACTATAAAAACTATATTAGCATGTATATCCACTATGTACCCACAAAAATTAAAAATAAAAAATATATTAGCTTTTCTGGAGAACAACCTGGCAACACAAGTAAAAATAAATAATAGGGATCAGGCACAGTGGCTTATGCCTATAATCACAGGCCAAGGTAAGAGGACTGCTTAAGCCCAAGAGTTTGAGATGAGCCTGGGCAACACAGACCCTGTCTCTACAAAAACTAAAACAAAATTAGCTAGGTGTGGTAGTGTGCACCTGTAGTTATAAGTACTTGGGAGGCTGACGTGAGAGGATTGCTCAAGCCTGGGAGGTTGAGGCTGCGGTGAGCCGAAATCGCACCACTGCACTTCAGCCTGGTGACAGAGTGAGACCCTGTCTCAATCAATCAATTAGCAATATACATAGACTCTGACCCAGAAAATCTACTTCTATGACTATTATCCTAGGAAGATAAAAGATTTATATAGATATATAGATACATTTTATGTATAGACATATGTGTAAGAATTTCACTGTAGACATTCTTCAGAAATTTTAATTCACTCATCCATTCATCCATGAGCACATTCGTTCACTCCAGCCTGGGCAACAAAGTGACTGAATTTTTTTATAGTTGTAAAAGAATAAGAAAAAATACAAATCCACTGGATAAGAATACATTAAATGTATCTAATCACTAGGATACTATGTATCTGCTAAAAGAGACAAGGTAGAATTCTAACAATACATTGCTACAAAAAAGAACATATCTGAAACAATACATTGTTACCAAAAAAACTATAGTAGTACCAACATATTGAAAATATTTCCTATCAGAATCAATCCAGGGATATTACATGGATAATAGTGAATCTAGATTATTTTTATATTATTCCCAAAACTACTGGACCAAATTATCCTAATAGGCCTCCTATTTAGCTCTAGAATTCTTTAATCCTAAGATTTTTTTTTTAAGACAGCATCTTACTCTGTCATAGGCTGGAGTATAATAGTGTGATCACAACTCACTGCAGCCTCAACCTTCTGGGCTCAAGTGATCATTCTACCTCAGCCTCCTGAGTAGCAGGGACCAAAGGCACATGCCACCATCCCTGGCTAATGTTTTGCTTTTTTTTTTTTTTTTTTTTTTTTTGTAGAGAAGAGGTCTTGCTATTTCACCCAAGGTGTCCTCAAACTCCTGGACTCAAGCAATCCTCCTGCCTTGGCCTCTCAAACTATGGGATTACAGGGATGAGTCACTGCACCTGGCCTAATCCTATAACTGTTGCACACCACTGATATTATATACAGTTATTATTGCAAGACCACAGTGTGTCTCCTATGTTTCAGAGCCTTTTATCTACTGAAGCAAAATATGAAATCCTCAAAAAGGTCCAGAATGTTTATATCTATATTGTAAATTTAAACTTTTAACACTACACCCTTGATTATCAATGACAACTAATGTTGAATTTATGGAAATCACAAATTATCTTACCTCAATAATATAAGGACCATTGTATTTTTTTTAAACTAAGATAAGAGAACTTTTTGAACATTGAAAGAGATAAATAACTGCACACTATGCCATATATGGTACACTTTATCCAAAAATACTGAGTGTGAACCAAATTCTATTAAAGGGCAGTTATAAACAGCAATGAAGCCCCTTGGCAGTGGGTGAGACTGAAATTTGGCGTCAGAAGACCTGGGAAGAAAAACCATTCTTTTAGCTCCAGAATCCCAAACAAATCAAATCACCTGAAACTCAATGGCCTCCTTTGTAAAAGATAAGCATGATAAAGGAATTATATAAGGTCAGTAAAAGGTGCCTGACAGAGTGCCTGAGACAAAATAGGTTCTCCATTCCTCGCTTAATAGAAACAGGTGCATCACTGTTGCTTCTGTTAAGGTTAAAAGGGGTACCTCAACTTACCTACTTTATTCATCGGAATTTTTATAACATTGCATACACAACCATTCTATTTTATTTTTATACTATATATTAGAAAGGGGCTTCTTGCTCCCAAAACTCTATTTGTTGGCATAGGCTTTTCCACCATAAGTATGCAAAAAAAGACGAGTTATCTCAGAAACTCAGGGAGAAAGCATACTTACAAAGCACACCCCCAAAACTCCGAGTTGCTCTTCTCTGAGCTCAACGCTCTTCTTAGGCACATATGTCTGCCTCCTATCATTTCTTCATGAGGTTCAGGGCAAAGGGCCTCGTCAAGCAGATGATCTTTGGTTGCTTCTACACTTTCCCCAAGCCACCTACAAATAAACGAAAAAAGGGAGTAAGACACACCTACAACTTTAAACATTTTTAAATGAAATATGAAAATCAGGTCACTATGTACAGATTATGGCATAACACAGAACAGAGAAAATGTTCCTAGAATCATTCAAAAGCCCAAATGACCTCACTGCAATTCTTCACATCCAAGTACCCAGCCAATATATTGTCACTGGTGACTTCCATCCATGCCTGGTTATCCTTGAGGCTTGCCAGACAGTTCATGCTCCAGTGGGAACCACAGCCCAAGTCTGGCCAAAAGTACTAAGCATGAGCATGTCTATCAGTTGGTAATTAAGTCAGGTAATAAAATTAACATGTTACTTCTGAATATGGTGACTCAATTGTACTTCTAAGCCAGTCTAACACTGCTAAAGGAAATATTTTATAAGCTTCCTATATACTCAGTGCTACAATTAAATAGGAGTAAAATGCCTTCGGTTGTAGGAAAGAGCTGTGGACAGAAATATTTTCAATTATTTGTGACTGCTTTCAAAGCAATCTGTAGGAATCCACAGGAAGTGATCCAGAGAACTGGGATTTATCTACATAAAAGGTAGATATGGGACTACATCTGTACACTATTTGGAGAAAGAAAAAAGGGTATTCTGAAAAAGTTAATCAAGAAATCAAGATAAACTGTCAAGAAACAGCTCAGAGACCCAGGTTCTGAAATGGCAGACAAGATATGCTGAGAGAATATAGATACAGTGCACACTTCACTCTTCTAACAAAACAGCCACCATCACCCCTGAAATGAGTCATAGGCACAACCAAATTTATGCGCTCCAATGTGAAACTGTCAAGGCTTTAAACTCATCGCTGTGCTGGCCAGTACATCAGTCACTAGACACATGGCTACTGAGCTCTAGCTCTGGCCAGGTCAAACTGACATGTACTATACAGGGAAAATACACAGTAGACTTTGAAGACTTAAAATAAATATTTTTTAATGTATAGCCCGGCATGGCGGCAGGTGCCTGTAATTCCCAGCTACTCGGTAGGCTAAGGCAGGAGAATTGCTTGAACGCACGAGGTGGAGGTTGCAGTGAGCCCGAATCGCGCCACTGCAGTTCAACTAGGGCAACAAAGCCAACTCCGACTCAAAAACAAGTAAAAATCTCAGTAAGTTTTATATTTACTCCATTGAAAACATTTTTCTATATTGTGCTAAATAAACTATTAAAATTAATTTCGCCAGATTCTTTTTTTTAACGTGGGTACTACAAAATTTAAATTCACCTGTGTGGCTCACACTGTATTAGACAACAGTACTCTGCATAATTAACAAAAAATAAACAACAAATGCTGCCAGGCACTGTGCTAGATATTTTACATAATACTCAACGCTGCAATTAATGGTCGAGTTTTATCAGACGCCTACATAACAGATTGGCTCCATCAAACCAAAAAGATGCAGCTGGGATTCAATGTCAGGTCATATTACGAAACAATTCAATTAAGGGGCCGCTAATAGGTAAGGCTAGGGCAACTCCCATAATGGCACAGAAAGAGGGGTCCAGCGTTCCAAAGAGTGGCAAGCTTTCAGTGACTACAAAACAGGCATATATATATACACACACATATATATATCAAGTTCTACATGACAGACAAGAAAATGTCAGACGGTTCTCTGGGGGACCTACCGAATGAGTCCAATCTCCTGGTCCTTAAAGCCTCACAGGTGCTAGCGGTGGAGCAAGGTGCTCCGAAAGGAAGGACAATCAATGTAGCCGAGATCCTCGGGATAATCTGGCCAGGACCTGACCGCTGACACCCCTGCAGACGGAGGCAGGCCTCGGGAGACGGGCGCGCCGCCTCCCCTCACCTCTGCACACACTCCACCCATCCACGGCCCCACCCCAGATCCCGCGCCGCTCCGAGGGCCCCACCCCTGGGGCGAGGGGAAGTGGGACTCAAACGTCTGCAGTAAGACGGGGAAGTGGTCGAAAAAGGGAAAATGGGAGGTGGGGGCAGGTACCTGACACGGAGGACGACCCCAGCTCGTTAATGCCGGATCATCGCCTAGGCCCCACCCGGCTCCCGCGGCTACCAGCGACCCAGAAGGTGCAACTGACCAAACGCTGCGACTCAACCGACTCTGCTCTCCCCAGATTCGCAGCTATGGCAACTTGAACTAGCCGCCCAGCCACAACGAGAGTACTGGACCCCGCTGCCGCCGCTTTGCCCTCTGGGAGTTGTAGTCCACCCCCGCTTCACGATCAAGGAGTTACTAAGGGAGAGCGTCCCGGAACGAAACTGCAAATCCCAGGATGCCATATGGCTGGCCTTCGGGTAACTTTCCCGGAAAAAGCCTGATCCCTCGGCCGCGCCCTCTTGCCCTGATCTATTTTTTTTTAAAGGACCAGCCTCCTCTGTAGGAGGCAAACTCCAGGTAGAAAGTTATTAAAAATGCTTCCTTAGCCTTGACTGTAATTTTACTCCTTGGGGGACAAAAGGAGTCTCCGAGGACTATGGTAAGTTGGGGAAGTGGTAGAAAAAGGGCGAGGGAGCGGTGGAGGGACAGGGAAGGACAATTTCTAGCACTGAAAGGTAAAAATCCCCTGATACCAGGGTCTAGCATATTGTTCCAAAGACTCACAAATTCTTATAACCGTAAGGGAGCAGAGAAGATTATGTAGTCCAACCTGTTTGGCGTGGAAAGAGTAAGGGACTTGCCTAAAAGCATATGGCTCATTCAGGGCACAACAAAAGTCGATGTGAGGCTGTCAGCTCATGACTGCTGCTGCTTCAGTCTAGGTGTCATCTCCTCACTCTAGAACATCAAAGAAATGTTCTGTACCCAGGGGAGTTGGTTTCAGTCACGAAGAGAATAAAAACCTCAATAAAAAACTGAGCTTTGGAAAAGCTAAGAAGTAACAAATTAGTCATGCGAATTGCCCTTTTCTTCTCTGCCCAAAAGACCACTTCCCCTTCCTTCTTTGAGGCTAAAATCAAATATTATCTGATCTGCCAAAGCTTCCCTGGCTACATGAAGAAGAGTTAGATCATGTTAAATAACAAGGGTTCCCTAATCTAATAATTTTGTACACTATAATCCGTTTCCCAGTTGGTCCCTTCTATTGGCCCTTCAAAGGGACCTAACCTTTTTAAATCTTTATCTTTCTTCTCACCCTTTTCTCACTTGCCCTTTTCCGTTCATCTCTCTCTCACTGTCTCTCTCTCTCCCTTTCTCTCCTTCCCTCCCTCCTTATCCCCCCCCCAACACACACACACATACACACAGGCAGTCATAAATAATTAGCACATAAAGTTGATATAGTAGAATTATTCAAATATCTTTTCTGGCCAACACTGAAACATGAAACTATCTCATATGGTTTGAACATAAAATAATTCTTCCAAAAACCTTCTATGCATTTGCAGCTGTCTTCAAGCTGCTTCCTTGAAATTGTTCCACCAGAATACACTCCACTGGACACAGAGTTTAAGATAATTCAGAACAGCCATAAAATTGCCTCTATGCATATAGAAGCATAACTGTTTATTTGTTAACATTTTAACTTTCAAAACAATTCATTCATATAATTCAGCAAATGTATGCTGGATATTTCTTAGGATCCAGACATTGTTTTAGACACTCAAGGTGCAGTGTGATAATAAGGAAATAAACAACATAGATCTTGCTTTCAAATTGCTCAGAACCAAGTTAGAGAAAAAGACTAATAAATGATTACAAATCTCTGTGTAATAGAATACTGCATGGATTTCTATGGAAAGCCATAAAAGAGAAACTTTCTGAAGAGTGATAATCAGATCAACTGCAGGAGAAATGCCGACTGAAACAACTAATGTAATCATGAGCTACATTAATAAAAACTGATTGTCCAAAGCCTTTCTTCTCTGGTTTAACCATATTTAGAGAATTGGATTCAATTCTAGGGGCCTTATTTTTTAAAGTGATATTAACCAAATAAATCAAAAATTGCAGGACACAACGGGGACCAAAGGGTTAAAAATCAGATGTTTTAGTTCATTTTGATCAATAAATGCTTAAATATATTATTAAATTCATAGCAACTGTTTGTCATATGGTGTGCTGTCAATCAATAGCTGTGGCATCCCAAAAAAATGTAGTGAAGTCACATCACTGAATCTTCTTTTACATCTTGACAAAACAGGCAAAATGAGTTAAAGCCAACAAAATAGATTTTACATGAAATTGTCTCATAAATCCCAAAGATATGTATTACTTTTAATCAATATGGCCAACACACATTATACAAACACAGCACCGTACTCAAGCAGACTCATCTGAGTTTAGATTTGGAAAAATCCACAAAGAGTACTGATATGGTCTGGCTCTGTGTCCCCACCCAAATCTCATCTTGAATTGTAATCTGAGTTGTAATCCCCATATGTTGGGGGAGGAACCTTGTGACGAATGATTAGATCATGTGGCATTTCCTCCATGCTGTTCTCATGATAGTGAGTGAGTTCTCAGGAGATCTGATGGTTTTATAAGGGGCTTTTGCCCACTTCTCTCTACTGCCACCATGTGAAAAAAGGAGGTGTGTTTTCTTCCTCTTCTGCCATGATTGTAAGTTTCCTGAGGCTTCCCCAGCCATGTACAACTGTGAGTCAATTAAACCACTTTCCTTTATAAATCACCCAGTCACAGGTAGTTCTTCATAGCAGTGTCATAACGAACTAGTACAAATATCATTTGCAGTACCCTCCTTTTGCAAACCATGATAAGTAGGGGTACACAGAGATTACATGATGTATTAGTTTACTAGGGATTTGATAAAATACCACAGAATGGGTGACTTAAACAACAAAAATTTATTTCTCACAGTTCTGAAGGCTGTAAGTCCAAGATCAAGGTGTCAGCAAGTTTGGGTTCTCCTAAGGTCTCTGTCTTTGGCTTGCAGATGTCCATCTTTTCTCTGTATCCTCAAATAGGCCTATTCCTGTATGAGCACATACATGGTTTCTCTCTCTTCTTGTAATGACCTCCATTATATTGAATTAGAACTTCATACTGTGGCCTAATTTAACCTTAACTACCTCCTTAAAGGCCCCATTTTCAAAAACAGTAACATTAGGGGTTAAGGTTTTGACACATTTTCCCACAAATTGTACCTATTTAGGATTAGTGTCATCAATGATCTTCGCATTACATAATACCTTGACAAAGGTAGATGCGGGAGATATTTTTGACATGCCTTGCCCACATAACCCCTTAACTGAGAATGATGCTACCCACAGTGTTGGCCCCACCAGCCTAGTTTGTGATACACAAAGTTCCTACCTGTCTCACCATGGCTGACTAGACAAGGCGTAGACAGATACCTGAGACAATATGGGTCAGTCAGGCTCTTTATCCTTTGAGAATTTAAAATTAGGACTCAAGCTCCCAATTGGTTACCAGAATAGTCTTGATGTACAGGTAAGAGCTGAGGTCATCACAAAGAGGTAGCCATCTTCTTCTGTGTTCAAGAGGCAGCTGATAATGCTAACCTGCAGACACAGAGAAGAAAGTAAAGCAGTAAGAGGAAATAAACTACACAGCCATAAGGAAATAAGCCCAAGAGAATGCAGCCCTGGTTCCTGACAACTTCGAAGTTCCTGGATCCAAGCCTTCTTATTCCCACTTGTATTTCCTGTGCTTGCTTTCTACAATATACTAGAGGCAACTGGAGGTGCTTAAACGCACAGATTCTGGACCCAAATCACTTGGATTCAAATCAGTTATAATACCTATCAGCAATGTCACTTCAAACAAGTTACTTAATCACTCTGTGCCTTCATTTTTTCCTTTTCTAAATGTGAACAATAAAAATAGTACTTCATGTGTAGAGTTGTTTGGTAGATAAGATAAATAAATGTGTGTAAAGCACTAAGCCTAGTGCCTAATTCATGGTAAGTATTATTGAATGTAAGCTGACATTATATGTAAGGTGACAAATACTATGACATCCTCAAAATGGTAGTTCCAGGAATATTGGTAGTCTATTATTTTGTTCTAGACACTTACAAATAATATATTAATAGCTTCTTGCCTCGTGATGATTTCCCTTTTGAGGCATAAGATTAGTTCTGTTGATTGAAATCTAAAGAGCCTTGACTAAGACTATATTAATGAGATCACCAGCCTGTAAGATCCAAGATGTTAATTCTAGATCTAGTTTCTTGAGCAGTTTCATCAGAAACACTTTTGAACTATACGAAACATTAAATGTCTAGATGCACTAATCAATAAAGAGGTTCTGGAATGGGGCTAGTCTAAAAGCATTGACATGAGCATCCTAACCCAACTCATCTAGAATGAATAGTGTAGAGAAGGGAAGACGTCTATTATGTAAGAAGCCGTGGGTGGCAAACAAAGGTAGTGCTGTTTCGAGGAGAAGGGACAGAAGTTGTACTTCACCAATAACTTGCAAATTTATAAAACTGTGAAACAACAACAGCTGATACAGTTTGGCTCTGTGTCCCCATCCAAATGCCACATGGAATTGCAATCCCTAATGTTGGGGGTGGGACCTAGTGAGAGGTGATTGGATCATAGGAGTGGATTTCCCCCTTGCTGTTCTCATAATAGTGAGTGAGTTCTCACAAGATCTGTTGTTTGAAAGTATGTAGCACTTCCCCCTTCACTCTTTCTCCTACTCTGCCATGTGAAAAAGGTGTTTGCTTCCTCTTCACCTTTCAAAGCACCATGATTGTAAGTTTCCTGAGGCCTCTCCATTCATGCTTCCTGTACATCCCGTGGAACTATGAGTCAATTAAACCTCTGTTCTTCGTAAATTACCCAGTCTCAGATGGTTCTTTATAGCAGTGTGAGAATGGACGGATACAACAACAGACTATTGCCATGTGACACAAAAATGTATTTGGAATACTAACCAAAATTTTCCTCAAATATGAATTATTTCACCTTCGTCCTCCCCTTATCTCCATTTCTGCCAGCTACACTGTTCTGCACTCACTGCCTTAAAGATGGGATGTGACCACAGAAAGCAGAAATGGAGAGGAGTTGAAGAAGAAAAAGAAGAAAATAAAGCATTTTCTTCCTGGCTTTTGAATATTCAACATAAACATCTTCAGATAGGACAGGCTGCATAATTTATTGCAGGACCCTGTGCAAAATG